GTAATGTAGAAACAAAATATACAAACACAATATACACACTATAGGCTTGAGCCATTTACAACAAATTTTTCAAGATATATTTTGTAAGTTTTCTTAAAAATGCCTAATGAGGCTGAATTTCTGATATAGGATGGTAAGTTACTCCATTCCATTACTCCTCTATACCAAAACGTCCTCTGACCCTTGGATGTTTTCCATTTAGAAATGCATAAATTATTTTTAAGAGAGGAACGTGTACTATACTTGTGGGTTTGGGAGATAGGACTGAACATTTCACTTATATATAAAGGCGCCAAGAAAATATAAAATTCTGTATTCGATAGGTAAGATACTATGTTTTTTTGAACAGCTCAAATGACAATTGGCTAAACTATGTTGATAAAGTGACGATGCCAGTATCGCTGACTATGGTGACTGGAAATATATGGAGACTATAATGTATGGTTACTATGGCGATGAGAGACACATGCATATGCGAAGACGTACATATAGTTCTTAGCTATCCTAGAGTAAAGAATAATTTAAATTATCCAATATACTAGTGCCATATTGACTTCTGTAGACAAAGTCTGTATATATGCTGCGATTGTTTAAAATACACAAGTAAAGCTTTGGGGCTAATCTGCACTGGCTCGGAAGGTTGTAAATGATTAGCTAGTTTGAATTTGCATAACAATACTGACAATGAACGTGCATTCAACGCCACAAGTTTTTTTGTTTTTTTAGCCAATCAGAATTCATCTTCCGAGCCAGTGCAGATCAGCCGAAGCTTTGTAGTGATGTGATTAGAGCGCCCTCTATAGATGCAATAATATGATATCTTTTTCTTGGGCAACATAAAAAAGATATTCTGTAACATTGGTTAACATCAATAGTATTTGTACAATAAAGAATAATTTATAAAATATATATCTAATCAGATTAATCTGACTTTGTGAACTGCAGAATCAGATGTCTGATCAGATTTTTAAAAATTAGACATGTTTAATTTCATTAAATTAAATCTGATCTGAGATGTGAACATCTATTTTTCCATCAGATTAATCCTATCAGTTTGGTCAGATAAATGGAATAGAGTGTAAGCTAGCCTTAAAACAGAAAATATAACTTGATATCAAACAGGCTTCACGCAATGATCAACTAATCTCAAGGTGAACAGTTTCTCTCATTGTTCAACCAATCGTAGCTGGGTGTGTGAGACATCTCGTATGCAACTTAAACGCAGCAGAACTTACGTTTTAAATGCTCTGTTAAGTCAGGTCTGTGTCCGGGCTCTGGCAAACTCTTGAAAGAAAATTTAAGTTTGTCGGTCATTGAGAGAGACTGTCCATCCTGAAGAATATAAAATATACAAGTCCCTAATTATTAATATGCAAATTAGGGATGACGTCAAAAGATCGATGTCGGATAAAAAACTTAATTCCTTTAGTTTTTTTCCAAACCCCCCTACCCCTCACTGAAACTTAATTGATAAATATTTGTCATGGCGTCAGACTACATTCACCATTAAATACAAATTGATAATCGGACAGTAGTATTGCATAGCAGTTAGTTGTCGGGTGGGTGTAAAAAGATTTTACAAATGCACCTCATTTGACGCACAAATTTACATTCGAACCAAACCATTTTTTTTCCCTTTTCGGTTATTTCTGTCCATGATTGGATAGAAAAAAAAACGAACTACAAATACTCCAAGATTTTTTTTACTTCATTAAAAAATAAAATCGTTTTTGTAGAATGGAAACTTTTTGAGGTCAACC